CGCCCTCGCCTCTTGTCTCCTTACCTTCTCTGTTTCTATCATGTTCGCGATGCAAACCCTCCATCCAAACTTCCTTACGTAGTTCGACAGCTTCTCGATATCAACCCCCAAGCACTCTTGGCTGTCTCCCTTGGTCAATTTCACCCGGAAGTGTTCATGTTCTCTGCCTACTCGTCCCCTTGCTAGGCAGTGCAGTCCCTCCCTGTCACAACAGTTCTTGAAATCTATCCTCGTCATGTCCCTTGGAACCCCAAACAGTGGCAGCTCCAACTTGTCTCCCTTCCACAGTTTCTGCTTCCATCCTCCCGGCTTCTTCACCATCCTCATGATCTCTACGGGAACTGGGCCGTGGCCACTTGCTTTTCATGTTTTTGCAGGAAGGTATACGGAATACTCGGCCTACCCAATCCAAGTGTCCGGCGGGGGTTGTGGTTCCTTTCAGTTCTTTTGCCGGCTCACCGACGCTAAATAGCGCCTCCAACATAGGCTCGTAGTCTGGATCCAAGTCCACACCTCCTGATACAAGTACCCCAGTCTTGTGCCGGGCTCTCTGCTTAGTTAACACCCAGACGTCCCCCGACCACCCAATTTATCATCTCCGAAATCCCGCGGTACAGGCTACTTTCCTCCTGGGAGGTCATTTTCACCACAATAAGTTCAGGGACGACTTTGCATAGCCTAAGATCTTACTCACACGCCGGGATGGAGCGTATACCAATGTCCAGCTTCTCATGTACGCTCCACCATGGGTTGCTACCCCACTTACGCTCCCGAGTAGACCTATCTGCCGAAAGTTTGGCCAACAATTCCTTACTGCTTTATACTCACCTCTCTCCAATCGAAAACAATGCATTGTGCGTGCCGCACATCTAGCTCCGCAGTTTTTGTGTGGTTGGTCTGGTTCTTCAGTTTGCTCGACGTGAGANTTGGGGTGTCTTAGCTCTAAGTCCTCCACCGCCCAATGGGGAACTTTAGTTTTTCTTTTTAATGCCGTACCAATAGGCATTAACCTCAGGTAAGCTTGTGCTTACTTTGGACTGTACC